ATGCAGATGACACACCTTGCTTGCTGAAAGTGAGGAGGACTTGAAGCATGTGCTGCAAGATCAAGGACTGCAGCCTTAAATATAAATTACTACGTAATGTAATGAAAAGAAAAAACAATATTCTCACAACTAGACCAATAGGTGACATCATGCTAAATGGGAGAAAAGGTAGAAGTTGTCGAGGATTTTGTCTTGCTTGGACCCACAATCAATGCTCACACACAGCAGTCAAGAGATTAAATGGTGTACTTTATCACATAAATCTGCTGCACAAGACCTCTTTGAAATGTTGAAAAGCAAGGATGGTTAATTTGAGGACTAAGGTATGCCTGACCCAAGCCACGATATTTTCAATCACCTCTAAACCAAAGGATAATAGATGCACTTACATTATAGTACTAACAAAGAATATTTAAAATACCACGGTCTGCTAAAAGAACAGATAAATCTGTCTTGGAAAAAGTACAGCTAGAATGCTCCATAGAAGCAAGGATGGCAAGACCCCATCTCAGAGACTCTGGAGATATACAAGGCACAGTCCTGGAGAGGGACATCATGCTTGATAATGTAGAGGGAAGCAAAGAGGAAAAAGACCCTCAATACAGACTGACATGGTGGCTGCACCAGTGGGGTCAAGCATAGCAGTGTTTCGTTTTGTTATATGTAAGATTGCTGTGAGTCAGAACTGCCTCCATGACACCGAACCACCACTGCTTTATAGGGAGAGGCAGGAGACCACAAAAAGTTAAAGCAACACTGAAGCACAAATAGGGGCTTCAAAAACTTCCCAATGTCAAATAGTACTATAGAGCCACAGATCCAAAACAGACTGGCACTCATTCAATGACAGATACATAGAAAAGGGAATAAAAGTAAAAATCCAAAAGTAAATGTATCCATCTACAGGCAGCTGATTCTTGAGTCCATTCAGTGAGAAAGAACAATCTGTTTACTCTCAGATGTAGCAAAATCAAACAGTATTCTCATACTATGGACAAAAACTAACTCAAAGTGGATCAAAGGCCTCAATGTAAAAGCTGTAAAGTTCCTGGAAGCTAACATATGGTTCAAAACTAAAATATGTATGAACAGCAAAGGATAAATTAGATAATGGCAATTCCTAAAAATTATGTACTTGGGCTCATTAGAAGACTTCACCAAGAAACTGAAAAATAAATCTTTAGCAACAATGTAACTAGTGAAGGTTTAATTTCTAAAATGTATAGAAAATTCCAAAAAAAGGGGAGAAAATTCCAAAACCAAAAAGACAACCAATTTAATTTTTAAAAAATAGTGAAAAACCATGAACAGATACTTGACTAAAGAGGACATTACAGTGGCCAACAAGTCAGGAATAAACATACCATTTCACCCCTAACAAAAGAAGGCAGTGATCATCAAATACAATGGAGCTTCAAAAATTTGTGGGAAAACTTCATTATCATTTAATTCTATTTGTCACGTACTTTTTGAAGATCCTTCACAGAAGTACCTTATGATCCATCAACTTATTCTTGGGCATATGTACTAGAGATCAAAGAACAGTGACACAAATAGACATATACACATCCATGTTCAACTGCTTCATTCAGAAAACAAAAGATGAAAACAACTACAGTGCCCATAAACAATGAATGGAGGAGTGAATGCATAGTGATAATAACTGATACAAGGGTTTATAGGGGAGAGGTAGGTGTCAGGGCTAAGTGACAGGGAGGGAAAGGGGATTTAGAGAGTAAACAATGAAGGCTGAAAGGGGGAGGGAGCGCCACAACTGATTCTGATCGTACAACTTTTTTTAAAGGCGATTTAACCATGGGGTGGGGGGGGAGAAGAGGGTATTGGAGGGGGGAAGGTTCTAAAACTGATGTAATAACAATGGTAAACAATTGTACAATTCATCTTCATATGATTGAATGACTGAACTAATAATATGTAAATCACGTGCCAGTAAAACTATTGGGGAAAAAAAGAAAACAATGAATGGAAAAGAAAACCATTATACAAACATATATGGAATACTACACAACTTCAAAAATTAAGTTAGAAGCATCTTATAACATGTATGAAACTGGAGGACATTATAGGCTGCATGCGTGAAATAAGTTAACCACAAAAATGCAAATTTTGCAAGGTCGCACTATCACACGAAACAAGAAAAGATACTCAGAAAACATACTTCTTTGACAAGGACCAGAAAAAATTGGAAGAAGGGGAGAAAAGCACTTTCTAGACAGTTGACACTTGTTATTTTTGGTGACAGAGAAGACAAAGTAAAATATATGATAAATCAGCACAAAATAATCAAAGTGAATAAAGATACTAAGAACTACATAGAAAATGGGAGACTGTGAAAAATGCTATTAAAAGGTAATTTTCCAAAATGGTTAAAAATAACCCAAAATAGATGTATGGTTATGTGGATAGATAGGGATGCATATGAGTCTAGAAAGGCATACCAAGTAAATACCCATGAACCTACAAATGTACCTGCTGGCATATTTATGCACATGATTGTGTGCACTATATCCTAGAGACCAGACCTTACAGGGGGTACACTTATGGAGGCTTCCTGCACATATCCAAACCATTCATGGCATTAGTTTATTGGGTTAGAAGGCTTGGGAACTTAGTCTCAGGTAACTATGTCAATTGGCATAATAGTTGACAGAGATAATGTTCTATATCCTACTTTGGTGAGTGGCCTCGAGTCTTACATGCTTGCAAGGCGTAAGTAACCTAAGAGGCAGCTGTTGGTCTCTACGAGTACAAAGTGAGAGAAAATGAACGCTGTCAAAGGCGCACAGAATCCCTGGGATTAACAGCCCACATAAACCACAGCCTTTTTTAACTTCAAACCGCAAGAATTAGATAATGCCCAGTTATCTGATGGGGACACAACAGAAGGCCCCTGACAGAATCAGAGAAAAATGTAGGCCCGAACTCCTTAAATTCCTAAGAAAAAAGGCCAGACCAATAGAGACTAGAGAAACCTCAAGACTATCTTTCTAAGACGACCACTGAACTTGATTTTGATGCCATATCTGTAGGGCACCTTTTAGCCAAATAAAAACATCACCACCCTTGAGTGTGCTCTCTCTTAAGCATCCAAATGACACCGAAAGCAAAGATGAGAAGTGAGAAGGGGAAAGGAAGACAGAACAATCAAAATCGAATGAACAAAATGGCAATAACCAAAACGCTGACATGTAAAATGTGTAACAGAATTTGTATAAAAACGGTTAATGGGGAAACGAATTTACTACATCAGTTTTCATCTAAAACAATATTATTTAAAGAACTGTATATCCAAAATGATAAGGTTCTCTTGCAGCTGAAAGATAACTAATGTACAAGGGATAAAAATTTTAAAAATAATTTTTCTACTTTCAGAGTTAATCGACTCATGCAATATAATCAACAGATGCTAAATTATTGTGTAAACGTTTGATGGAGAAGAACATATTTAAATAATCACAAAGTAACCATACAGATTACTTATAAATTATTAAGGGAAAATAATTACAACTTTAAGAGAAATTTGACATGTACCAGGTGACCAGAGCGACAGTCACCAACTCTGAGGCAAATGATAACATGTGTCCCTTGATAAGATCACACTGAAAAAGTCGTAACATTGCTTATGAAATATGACTACTAAAAATGTACAGTCTATATCAAAAAAGGAAATAACTGGACAAATTTATACTGGAGGAAGGAAACCCATCAGGTTAATTCTAACTGTTAGTGACTCTAAAGGGCAGAGCTAAAGGTTTCCAGTGCTACATGGGAGCAGATGCCAGCTGCTCCATTAGTGGTTCACACCACTAATCTTCTGGTTAGCAATTAAGCACTTAACCAGTGCACAACCAAGGCTGTTGTCCACAAAACCACTGAATTGTATTCTTTAAAAAATAAATAAATAAATAAATCTCTAACTTCATGAAAGATTTAAAAAAAGGTAAGGAATTATTCCAGGATAAAGGACGATTAAGAATTACATAAACTTTGTCCTCACCCCCAGCCAGTCCTGGGGTTTGGGGGCTTGGCTCAATGGGAGTCCCTCTGGGACATGGGGGTTCAGTGAATGGTGTGACCCTTTGCAGGGCATGCCCACACAGTGGGGTGTGCTGGGCCCCTCTAGGGTTTCCCGTAGGGGCTCCAATAAATTTCTTCACTTTTGCAAAAAAAAAAAATTACATAAACTAAATGTTAATACATGATCATGAATTGAATTCAAGACTTGGGTATTATTGGAACTGGAAAATTTTGAAATATTGATAAACTTAGGTAACAATAGTCTATAAATGTTCAGTTTATGGAATTTGATAATGTATGGTTATATAAAAGAACACTCTTTTTCCTAGGTATTTATGTACAGAAAGTGTGATTATACATTCATCTTAATTAGCTCAGCAACATAAAATTATTAAAAAATCTAAACCGAAACCACCCACTGTCGCCCAGTCAGTTATTGCGACTCGACAGGACAGAGAACTGCTCTGTAGGGTTTGAAATTGTGACTCTTTATGGGATCAGACAGTCTCATCTTTTTCCTGCATGAAATCAAAACTAGTCAAAAGATGTATGTACACATAAGTAGAGGATGAGAAAGCAAATATGGCAAAAATGTTAACAACTGGTCAAGAGAATATGGGCGTTCACTAGACTAGTCTTGCAGTTTTTACATGAAAACGTTTTTATAACAAAAAAAGAAAAAATACATATAATCACCTAAAAACAGGGAACCAATCATGGCAATGAAGGAATTTGGCACAGCCGCTGAAAAGAAAAAAGTGTTTACAAAACAGCTGCGATAATTCTTGGAAAAATAAATGAGAATAATTTAAGTCTAGATCTGTTCAAATAAAAGATCTAACATGAAAATACATGTTGCTACAGAAAGGTTAGCCTTGTAAATTTAGCCTTCTTAAAAAAGCCACTTGTTTAATACTGCAGTAATTTTAAAGTTATTAATACATGTGGGGGGGGAAACTCACACAGGAAGGGAAGATCTTCGTCCTCTGTTTGTCTTTTTTGCAATAACTGGAGTTCCAAAATGTTCTGGATTTGTTAATGGAAGCTGGTCAAGCGTCTGGATAAGAAACAGATGAATTGAGTCTCCATTGCGCTTATTGGCCAGTACCTCTTGTTCATCCCAAAGGCCCATTCATGTTACCTCACCTCACTCTCTGCAAAATGTCTCTCCCCTTTCAGGCAAAGTGAGGTACGCCTTAGTGTTCGCTCATCGCCATCATCAAACACTATAAGCAAAAGACATTGGAAAATGTATGCACATAAATTAATTAAATGCAAATGCAAAAAAAGCTATTATCATTTAGAATATGTAAAAAATATTAATAATAATCTTTCAAAATGTGTGAAATCACATTTCATTCCGATGATAAACAAACACAACTCCAAAGGCTACCCCTAACTGTGTCTCTGCTCTTTCCATTTTTATGAGGTAACTTTCTTAACCAATAGCAACCTAGTCATTAAAAGTAAATTACTTTCAATCCTAAAGTAACAAAATAAAACTTCTTTTAAAAAAAGAATTATGACTTTTTCCTCAATAGTAAAACTTTACTAAACTTCGACACTGTTGGCCTGTTCTACTGCTTCTACATACTAACATACTAACCTAAATTAGAAGTGCTGGCTATCAAATTCTAAAATTACAACCACTAAAAATATATAGTTTAGAAATAAAGATCGCACCAAAGGAATACCAGAAATACATGAAAACCAAAGAAAAACTCAAAAAAATAGCAATTGCATGGAAGCTTTATTTACCTTTAGCTGTACTTAAAAAAATTCATACTACTTGGAAGTTATGCTTAAATTTTCTGGACAACTGAAGACTTGACAGTTACTAGTATTTCCCAAATGATGGACAGCCATCGAGTCGTTTCACACTCAGAGCAACCCTTCATAAGGTTCTGAGACTCTGAAGTCTCTAAGCATACAAGTACATTTCCCTGGTTGATTAACATGATATTTATAGGTTAAAGTTTCAGCCATGAACTCAGATTTTAGAACCTAGTATTTCAAAGGTTATTAACATGAGAATGCTCCTGGAAGAGAGCCCCAAATTATGGGGAAACCAAATTAAGATGTCAGGTACCTTATTTCAGGTATGGACAAGCATACACAGAAGGCATTCCAAACAAACCCCAAA